ACTAACTTCAATTTTAAATTGAAGTAGGTTAAAACCACTGTTGTTTTCAGCCCCCGTTTCATGTAGCTAAACTTAATACTAATGGATAAAACTCTGTTAATTAAACTTAGGTCCATAGTAGCGATGTCTTAAGTGAATTTCTTTTTTTGATGTTATTGTTGTTCTTTTATTTTGTTATTCAGATATTGAAGAGGAGATGGAGATGGGATGTACAGTTGACTCAGACAATAATCCGGCAAGTTGTTAAGACACAAGTCTGAAACATAAGACTTAAGGTATACTGGAAGAGTTCTCGGGGTTTGCTAATTTTCTTATGAGAGAATTATTATTATAATTATTATTATTATTTGAGATGGAGTCTCGCTCTGTCACCCAGGCTGGAGTGCAGTGGCGCCTTCTCCTCTCACTGCAAGCTCTGCCCCTCAGGTTCATGCCAAGAAAGAATGACTATTTTTATGTCTTATTTTCTTTTACTCTTTCTCTGGAAACCATCAAATCTTGTGTAGATTCCCAGACCTAATAGCACAAGAATGCAGTGCTACATTTTCCTCAATTATTTCTTATCTGTTAGCCTCGTTTCTCTAACAATAAAATAAATACTGTGAGGAAAGAGAAGATATACTTTCTGTAGTATTCATGGTATTGGAAGCCATGAAAGGCATACAATAAAACTGAATTATGTTCAAATGTCTGATACAGAGTCATTGAAAATATTGTCATTAATATAGCTTATGTGTTTTCCTTTAATTACCTCTTTATAATGCGTAATGACTTTTGTTTGTGACCTATGCATTGTTTTTAGGATTCTTTTCAAAGGGATTGGTCATTATCCATTTGAATATGTATCTGTGATACATGTATTGTTTTCTCCTCTACGATTGTGAACGTTAAAAATGGCTACATACATGGAAGTCATAATAATACATTTAATAAAAATTAGATTGCTTTGAGAAAGGAATTACATTTATCTAAGAATTTTTTAAAAGCTCATATAAAGTCACACACTTTTAAAGCTCTAAGCAACATTAATAATCATGTAGTCTAACCTCTATATATTACAGACAATGAAATGGAAACTCAATATTTTTCCCTCCAGCCAAATCAAATATATGGTTAAGAATACATGGAAATCAGGCTGGGCACAGTGACTCATGCCCGTAATCCCAGCACTTTGGGAGGCCAAGGCAGGCAGATCATTTGAGGTCAGGAGTTCAAAAGCAGCCTGGCCAACCCCATGAAACCCTATCTCTACTAAAAATACAAAAATAAGCTAGGGGTGCTGGTGGGTGCCTGTAATCTCAGCTACTCAAGAGGCTGAGGCAAGAGAATCACTTGAGCCCTGGGGGCAGAGGTTGCAGTGAGCAGAGACCATGCCACTGCAATCCAGCCTAGGAGACAGAGCAAGACTCCATCTTGAACAAGACAAAACAAAACAAAACAAAACAACAAAATAAATTCTATGTGGAAATCACATCCCAACCAAAATTATGCATCATTTAAAAAAATTTTATGTATGTAATTCTGACTTCTTTAAAATCTCAACAAAAATCTCAATAGAATGAAAAAAGAGAGTTTGAAAAATAAAATAATAAATGCTTTGGGTTGCTTCTGGGAAATACTAAATAATCAGATCCTGCCTTATGATTAATATGTTAAAATGTACTGCAGTAATGTTCGTGTTATGGCAAAAATAAGCTTAACTCATTTTTCTCTTTATTATTTATTATTTTTTTAAATAGCCTCACATCAACCATTGGTGGTGTGCTGGAAGGTATTGTAGAAGGATATATAGTCACTATGTTTGAGGTCCGTTAAAATAAAATTGGTCTACAGATTTAAGCCTAATAGACATAAATGATAACAGTCAGTAGAAATATAAAAAGTTAAAAAGTTTAATGTCTGACCCTTTCCCTTTTATATTAAAATATTTCCCTTCCTGAGAGGATACTGAAATTACTAGATTGCAGTTTGGAAAGTCATTCAAGCAAGAGATTGCAATTGGGGGCTGCAAAGATAAAATTTAGGTTACACTCTTCCCTTCTCTCTCTTTGAGGTCACAAGGAATTTTGACTCAATTTCTCTCTGTACCTCTGCTTTATCTCTACATCCTTCTTCCCCACCCACATCTCCAGGGGCTTCCTCTGCTCCAAATGCATAAGCTTTGTCCTAGCTGCTCCAAAACAGTGTTATCCTGACCCTTATGTTAGTAATGTTGATAACAATAATTATAATTGATATTTACTAAACTTTAATTATGGCGTTGAGGTAAGTACCATGTATTATTTAATCACGACACCTCCCCCCATAAAGTAAGTACTATTATTTTCTCCACTTTTCAGTGAGGTAACTGAGGCTGAGCGATGTTTAATAACTTATGTAACATCACACAGCAAATAAACAATAGGGCCAGAACTTAAATCCAAAGTCTGTTTGATTGCAAAGTCCATACTATGCTGCTTCCAATTGCCACAGAGAAATGCATAAAATAACAAGCTGCACGTGAGTTCTGCCAGGGTTGAAGAACAGGAGGCTAGTGACAAAAATGTTGGGGGTAGGATGGGATATGTGGTTAAAAACTGTGGTCCAGCCGGGCACAGTGGCTCACACCTATAATCTTAACAGTTTGGGAGGCCAAAGTGGGCATATCACCTGAGGTCAGGAGTTCAAGATCAGCCTGGTCAGCATGGCAAAACCCTGCTTCTACTAAAAATACAAATGTTAGCCAGGCGTGGTGTCACACTACTTAGGAGTCTGAGGCAGAAGAATTGCTTGAACCCAGGAGACACAGATTGCAGTGAGCCCAGATTGTGCCACTGCCCTCCAGCCTGGACGACAGAGTGAGACTCTGTCTCAAAAAAAAGAATAGAAAAGAAAAGGAAAAATGAAAAACAAACAAAAACAACAAAAAACTGTGGTCCAAGTCTAGGTACTGCAATGAAAACAAACCTTAATTCTAAACTTCCTGGCAATGAAGTCAAAAAGGAATCATGGCCGGGCATAGTGGCTCACGCCTGTAATACCAGCACTTTGGGAGGCCAAGGCAGGCGGATCACCTGAGGTCAGGAGTTCAAGACTAGCCTGCCCAACATGGTGAAACCCCGTCTCTACTAAAAATACAAAAAATTAGCCAGGCATGGTGGTGGGCACCTGTAATCCCAGCTACTCAGGAGGCTGATGCAGGAGAACCGCTTGAACCCAGGAGGCAGAGGTTGCAATGAGCTTAGATCGTGCCACTGCCCTCCAACCTGGGTGACAAGAGTGAAACTCTGTCTCAAAAAAAAAAAAAAAAAAAAAAGGAATCATAATTTGTTTTTGAAGAGTAGCTCTATTTCATTGGAAAAAAAAAGCATATTAAAATTTTCGTTTATTCAAACGCTTTTTATGTGAGCATGTACCATGCTTATTATTTTGAGGGGCAGTGGGAATATAAATAATAAGACCAAGTGTTCTGCTTTCCAAGAACTTACAGATTAAGCGAAAGATAGCTTTGTAAACAGACAGTATGGACATAGTGTGATCAGGCAGGCATTGCTGTTCTGGGAACATGGAAGAGGAGGCCATAGGCCATCCTATAGCAATCAGGGAAAGTTTCAGGAAGAGGTGATTCCTGCATTATTATAAATGACCAACTACATTTTCCAGGCAAAGCATGAAGGAAAGAGCTTTCCAAGTAGAAAAGCTTAGGTGGGAAGGCCTGGATTTAAGCACGTGGCTTATTCTAGAGCGTGACAAAAGCAAGACGTAGGATGTGGATGAGGAAGTAGGCAGGAAGCAGATTATAAAGAGCTTTTTGTGTAACCTGCAAAGCTTAAATTTTCCCTGAAAACGCGGGAGGAGCCATTGGAAGGTCACAAGGGAATGACATAATCAGGTTTTTGCTTTAGAAAGCTGATTTTGAAATGGATTAAAAAGAGTATGACCATAAAAATCCAGTTAGAAGTCTTTTGCATGGATCTAGGTATGAAATAATGGGCTCAAACTCAGAAGATAGAGGGGTTTAGAGAAAGGGGTGGATGTGAGAGACATCAAAGAGGCAAAACTTAGACACCAGATTGGTTGTGGGGGTGAGAGTGTGGAAAGTGTTGATGCTTCCCAGGTAGCTGGAGATGCCATTCACTGAATGAATCAAAAGGGACAACAGATCCTGATGGGAGTGGGATCTTTAACACTGATTAACAGTGATCTCCATATGAACATGTCAGGCACACAGTGCCTGTGGCACAACCATGTAGAGGTGTGCCATAGGCTCAGGAGTGAGGCCTGAGCCAAGATATGAGTTTAAGGGGCATCAATATGTAGGTGGTAGCTGAAGCCATGTGAGTGACTCCGGGTGAATCCAAACTGTCCTTCGTATAAGGAATACTGAAATATGTGGTGGGTAATATTGCCAAAAGTGCTTTACAGGTGATTTAAACTGTTGGTCACATTTATATTCTTAAATTCACCTTCAATAACAGATGGCAGCAAAACATTAAATTGTAGCTGTGTGAAGATATTTCTCCCAGGAGCAAAACTAATATAATTTAGATATGCAGTTTTCTAGGGAGATCTAAAAAGTATTTTAAAATACGTGACTTCCCATTAGAATCACTGCAAATGCATCTGAAAAATTCCAAGCTGTGCTAATTCAGTTAGTCTGAGGAGGGTCCCAGATACGTGTGTATGTACATATACACGTGTGTGTGTGTGTGTATTCAAGTAATTCTATCATGCAGCTAGAAATAAACGATTGGCATGTCCCTAGACAATTCCTCCTGAATATCAGTTGTCTCGACTGGGTTTTGAACAAGAGCTCTAAAGCAAACAATTCATGACTAGGTGAGTCATACACTTCGGATTCCAAGCATCTTGCTAGCAAAGATGATATTTTTGTATAAAAACTAAATAGCCTGCCATGCATTTTTGCTTAACCAGATGGAAAATATCCCTCTTGTACATAAAAGTTCTGGAGTGCAGAGAAAAGGACCAAGACATCTTTTAAGAAGCAGCTTTAAACTTACCCAAATGCTCATATGGCAGAATTGATTCTTCAGAGTTGTGCCACGTAAGACAGATGAGAGATGACTTTGACAGAGATATTTTGAAGGCATATTCTCACATACACTATTTATAGATTACCTGTGAAATGGATTGAAACTCATTACATGTTTTAAATACTAAAATTATTCCGATTTTAATTTAACCTTTGATGATTCAGAAGACACATTAGGATCAGAATGTCATAAGTTTGGTATTAGGAACATCAGCTATTATATTGAAATTGCGTGGCAGTGCTGGTTAAAAATATCTCTTAAAAAGTTTACTGCATGAAATACCAGTGAGAGTTTTACTTCTGGCCATAAGAAACCAGCTTGCAGCAGATCGATTCTTCCACCAAGAACAAATAGAAAAACTGCAATAAAACACACACACATACACACACACACATGCACACACTGAAGGCCACTAGAAAGTTACTAAGGTAGTCAGGACTTAGGGTTACAGATTATGAAGAAAAGGGAAGCACAAAGTGAATTCAATGTTCTACATTTTTTTCTCCTTGAGAGATTTGCTGATTCATGAATGGCATTAGTGAAGTAAATGAAAAGACAAGTAGAAAAGAGCTGTTACGGCCAGGCACAGTGGCTCATGCCTGTAATCCCAGCACTTTGAGAGGTCAAGACAGGTGGATCACTTGAGGTCAGGAGTTCAAGACCAGCCTCACCAATATGGTGAAACCTCATCTCTACAAAAAAGTATAAAAATTAACTGTGTGTACTCTCAGCTACTCGGGAGGCTGAGGCACCAAAATTGCTTGAACTGGAATGAGGAGTTTGCAGTGAACTGAGATCGTGTCACTGCACTACAGCCTGGGTGACAGAGCAAGACTCTGGCTCAAAAAAAAAAAAAAAAAAAAAAAAAAGAAAGAAAGTAGCTGTGAAGGACCAGAGAATACGAGTAGAACTTTCAGCAATTTAACAGGACTGAGAAGATAACAATTAGAATTCAAGGCTAGCTAGGTAAAGAAGCCCTAGACAACACCCAGACTTTCACTGACCCTGAAGGGGTCATATGACCTGAGTATGGTCAAGGGGTATGACTTATGAGTATGGTCAAATTGGAAATAGACCAGACCTTACGAATTAGCTCAGTCCCTGATTGGATTAAGGTGATTGTCTCCTCTCTAATTGCCTACCAGATGCTAAAGAAAATCCTTTTCAGATGTAGATATCGTTTAGATTTGTGGCATCAATACAAAGTAAATACAAAGAAAACTACATTTAGGTACATCATAATAAGATTACTGAAAACCAAGGAAAGAGAAAATCTCAAAAACAGCTGCAATAAAAAAGGACACATTACCTGGAAAAGTGCAACTATAAGACTTACCACTGACTTTCCAATAGGAGAGATAAAATCCAGAAGACAATGGAAAAATATTGGTAATGTGCTGAAAGAAAAAAACTGCCAGTCAGAATTCCTTAAGCTACAGGTGAGTGCAGTGGAAGAAAGAATGACATCATAAGTGGTGCTGGGCCAACTGGATACCTACAATGAAAAGAGTAAATTTTGACCCCTCTCTGCATACCATATATAAAAAATCACTTCCAGGTGGGTTACAGATCTAAATGTCAAAGGGAAATATTTTCATGACTTTAAGTAAGCACGTCTTTTGTAAACAGAATACAGAATGCACTGTAAAGGAAACAATTGATTTACTGCATAAATTAAAATTAAGAACTTCTGTTCATCAAAGATACCGTTAAGACAGTGAGAGGATAAACCACAAAGTAGGTGGAGATATTTGCAATTAGTATGGCTGAAAGGAACTCATATCCTGAAAATATAAAAAATTCTGTCAAATCAATAGAAATGACCCCAAAGAAAAATGACTAAGTATACTTGATTTCAATTTCCCTATCATGGATATCCAATGGCCCATCTTCCTGTGAAAACATTGATTGTCATCAGGGAAATACAAAATAAAGACTCAATAATACATCAAAGACCACTCACCAGAATATATATATATTCTGAATGTATGTGTGTGTGTGTGTATATATATGTGTGTGTGTGTGTGTATATATATGTGTATGTATATATATATATATATATATATATATATATAAAGAGAGAGAGAGAGAGTTGGAGTCTCACTCGGTCTCAGCCTGGAGTGTAGTGGCACGGTCTCGGCTCACTGCAACCTCTGCCTCCCAGGTTCAAGCAATTCTTTGCCTCAGTCTCCCAAGTAGCTGGGATTACAAGTACCCGCCACCCTGCCTGGCTAATTTTTTGTACTTTTTTTTAGTAGAGACAGGGTTTCACCATCTTGGCCAGGCTGGTCTTGAACTCCTGACTTTGTGATCCACCTGCCTTGGCCTCCCAAAGTGCTGGGATTACAGGTGTGAGCCACCATACCCGGCCGAGAATATTTTTTAAAAGTTTTAAAGGGAGCAGTATCAATTTTTGACAAAATTATGAAGCAATGGAACCTTTTACCTAGTTGGTGAAAATGTAGACGGTTTGGTCATAGAGGAGACATTGTTGGTGTCCTGCCTGTATCTTCTCAGCATTCACCACTTTCACACACTCTAGCCCAACAGTTTCCAACAGAAAAAAACCATTCATAACTTTCTTTGAGGACTTCCTTTAGGTGCCAGAACTAGCTTGTCCGGCACAAGGGACAGACCAAAAGAGGTGGGAAGTTAATATCCCCTAGGAGATGGCCTCAATCATTGACTGATGGGTGTTAATAGGTAAATACCCCAGTCCCTCATCCCTCAGTTGGGGCAACACTGAGGTATGTTCAGTACTGCTTCCCAGAGTTTCCTAGTGGGGTTGAGTCTCAGTTGCCTGCAACAGGAATCTGTCTGATAATGATAGAGTGATTTCAGACTCACTTCTGCCAGGGGTCCAAGAAGGTTCATCAATTTCTCATGCTAATTTTTGGCTTAATATTCCTATGCCATAGAGATGGTATTAGTTCAGGACCCATATCCACATGTGGTACAGGCCTGAAGACCTTAATTTCTTATAGACAACTGGCCTCCCTCTTCAACTAAAGCCTTGGACAAACAGCAAGCTTCTGTTTGTTTCTGTTGGACAAAGTGTTTTAGCCCTCGTTTTATGAACAAGGCAGTTCTTCAGGCTCAAGATTTCACACAAGGAATTCATTTCCAACTTCACACAAGCCCAAGCTTGTTCCCAGCCCCTGGCCTTCAGAGCCCATCTGATCTGAAGTTCATTTGAGCAGTGGTATCATCTCCTGATTACTGCTCTGTCTCAAATTTCTTTCTTCATTTTTGCCCCAGGGGATCTTCCTTTCTTTCCTTTTTTGAGCTCAGCTACTATAGTAGATGCTATCAGCCCCTGACTTTGCAGTACTAGTTCTACCTGCTAAAGGCTACCTGTAACCCTCACCTCTGGCTTTCTGCCTGAGAGGTTTGTGTTGGCTGTGGAGCACATCATCCTGCAGGCAAGCTAGAAATGCTGAAGAATATGCCCTCTCACCCTCCTAGTGCGTTTCCCAGACATTGATTGATGGGGGTTTGGTAGAGGAATACCTTAGTTTCTTCACCTCTCAGCTGCAATAACTGAGATATGTTCTATTCAGCTCCAGTTACTCACGGTGGTAACTTGTTGACAATACATTATTTAAGGGCTTTCTTTCATTTTCTATGTCTCCATTTTGACTTCCAGTGCATCCTGGAATCAGTGCCTAAACAAACTATTGACATTCAAATCTTTGCCTTGGGACTGTTTCTGGAGCATAGGCAGCATCAACTACAGCAAATCATATGAATAACCTGTGACCCAGAAATTCCTCTCCTGAGTACATTTACAATGGAAATATATACAAATGTATGCTTAATAACATGTACAAAAATGGCTATAGGAGTATATTCATAATGCTCCAAGATAGAAACAACACAAATGAACATCAAACATAAAATGATAAATAGATGGTATAGTTACACAATGGAATACTATACCTCAAAATGGATGAATAAAATGAACATAACAACATAATAACATAAACATAAACAACAACATAACAATGCAGATGAATCTTGCAATAATGTTAAGCAAAGGAAGTCAGACTCAAAAGTATACATTTGCATTGCTCATATTGCAGTGTTGGTGCCATATCGTTGCTGGGGCAGTAAAATGCAACCCAGAGTATAAACTATTTAATAAGTGAAAAATGAAATAACTTATACTATAATAGGAAAAAAGAAGCAAGAGTTAATTTGGGATTTCTTCCCCTTAAACATGATCTGAATTGTTAGGTGATCATGTTTGTGAATATATTTATTGTTTTACAATACTAGCCTTAAAAATCCACGATATTCACTTATTTACTGATGTGCTTTATTATGTTAATATCTTAGTATCTTAGTGGCCTTTTTTCTCAGTATCTGATTAATAACAAGCATACAATGACATCCATGATATGTATGTGCCTCTCATTTTAATTGATGCAATTAAAAAAGTATGGCACAGGTTTTTCAAGTTTAACAAGCAGAAATTAATAAATGGATGGTTCACATTTTAAGTCATCAACATATCAAAAAGCAACCAGGGCAGTTGCAGGCAACTTTTGGTTGAGATAATTGGTTTGCTGTTCCAAATTGAATCCTTTGGGGTCAACAATTTCTTCAGTAACCATATTAGCATATTTTAATACCTGTTGAATTTAGAGACTCACTAATATGCTTAGTAAATGGAATTGCTATTTACAGTTATTAGCATATTCAATCTTCATCCTAGCTACAAGACATTGAAAGCATTATTAAAATCCCTTTGCAGTAACAGAATCTCTGTGAATGTCTAAGATCATTTTATTATGGAGCAAGCCAGAAAATATACTCCCTTCTTTTGAAGAGAACACTTTCCCTTTAGGCGTGGGCTTCTAGGTGGGCCACCTGAGAGGTAGCTCATTGTGGGCTGTGGAATCACGTTACATGGGTTTGAATTCTGGGTCAATTACTCAGGAGTTGTGTAACCTCAGGCTAGTTAGTTAGGCTCTCTATGCCTCGGTTTCTTTGTCTGTAAAATCAGAATAATACAAGTACAAGTTATAGTGAGGCTTAAATAAATACAATGCTCTTTGAATTGTGCCTGGCACTAATTAGGCACTTTCATTTATTCAACTAGTATTTATTAAACATCTACTATGTGCTAGGGACTATCTAGGTGCTTGAATACATCAGTATATAAAGCAAAGATTCCTGCCATAAGGGAGTTTATTTATTTTCTAGTTAGGGAGACAAACAATAAACATAAAGGGGTCAGGGTGGGTCTGAGAAGTGGTGACTTCTGGCAGTGGTGGCAGATGTTGACTGCATTTCTCTTGCTGGAAGAATTTCTATATTGGTGTGAGTAGGCCAGTCACCAGGATCAGGCACAAGCCCTAAGCCTGGCAATAATTCAAGGAGGAAGATCCTCTAGACACCTCCACACTTCACCAAGACACTCCAATAAGTTACATAGGGGAACAATGGAAAGTCCATTTAAATGGGAAAGAAGAGATATGAGGTAAGAAAAAAAGAGAAAGTTCCTTGTTTCTTCTCCTCTGTGTATTCTAAATCCCTTCCCTATCTTTCCAAAATGCATTTCTAGCATACCTAAGGTATACATGTGTGTATGCAACCTGGTATGTGTTTGTGTGCCTGTCTATCTGTGTGAGTTTTAAGCAATGCCCCCTGTTGGAGCTATGATGTATAGAGTCAGTTATAAATGAAATATATTAGCAATGCTTTCAGCAAATTACAGGAATAAGTTAGCCAAAGAGTTTGCAGCAGTCTCCAGAGGGCATAGAAAAATTTAATTGCCTCTTCTTGCCTGTGCCTGGCTTTTGGAGAATAACATCAGCTGCTTTTTGAATAAGAAGCATGCCTCACTTCATGATTCTCCAGGTAACTGGCCAGTTTCCACTGCTGAATTATTTTGTTCCAAGTTTTCTATGCATATTAAATAGTATGTGGTGATTAATTGTCTCCCAAGTTCTTTAAGGCTCACAACCAAGATCAATTCCTCAATGCAAGTCAATGTGACTCTATTCCCTGTCTTGCCATGGCTCATGGCTACATTGTCTTTTTGTGTCTTAGGATCCACACATCTGAAAACTGTTCCTTTCCTCTTTAGTCCTCCCTGACTGCATCTGCCCTTCTTCAGGAAGTTTTGGAAAGATTGCCAAACACACATGAATGCAAGCACCAAAACACTTCTGTTGTCTCAGCCATTTGCAAATAATTTAACAACGTACAAATTATTTAAAATCAATATAGTCAGAGTTCTCAGAATCTCCAATCATACATTAGTTCCTGCTGCTATGGCAATCTGTGGGCATGTTTTTCCACTCCTCTGGGCACTTCATTGACTTTTTTCTATTATCATCTACATCAAATTCATGTTTACCCAACCTAAATTGTGTGGACATTATCTTTTTTTCCTCTAGTTTTCATGATTCAGCTAGCAGAATTCTACTGAAGACACCTTTCCCTTCCCATGAAGGAAGATGCAGTTCCTTCATCTTCTATTGGCTGCTCCCTTGTCTCCACAATAGTTATTGATCACCTACTGTGTGCCAGATGTTCTTCCTTCCAAGCCTCAGGCAACTCTTCAGGCATTATTAATCTTTTGATATCAATGAGGAAACTGAAGCATAAAAGAAGCAAGTTATTGGCTCAAGGCAACACAAATACCGAACTGAAAGAGCAGATTTCGAATCTAGATCTTCTGCTTCACAGCTCCTTTCCATTCCCTGCTTTGCCTTTTCTGCCAGATGGCACCTTATTCTCAGAATAGCCTTTATTATATTTCCGTAGACTGCCTCCATTGGTTTTTTCTAGATCTCTAGACTCAAATCTGCCAAAGAATCTTCTAGCCTATCTCAGCCATATTTGTGAGTGGAACAAATACTTAATGTCAGATCAAGACTGGCTTCGCACTCCCTGGGGTGCAGGAGAAAGACAAGTCTTCCTTTATTTCCTGAGGTAGTGTCTGAGGACTTTAATTGTGCTGAAGGACTAGAGTGAAGGGGTGAGGGGGCATTTATACCAGTGGGAGGTTTTGAC